CCTCTCCAAGGACCAGTCCCTCCTTGCAACATGACCAAAATATGTCAGACGAAGCTTCAGAATCCTTGACTCCAAGGAGCATTCCAGCTTCACCTTCTCCAGGACAAACCTGTTTGTTCTCCTAGCAGTCTGTGGTATATTCAACAGCTCAAAGGCATCAATTCTCTTTCTATCAACCCTATTCACTGTCCAACTCTCTGATGCATAGCACGTAATTGCAAAGACTATAACCTGGATCAGATGCAACTTAGTCTCCAGTCTGACATCGTTGCTCTTCAGTACTCTTGAGAGGTCCAGTAGGTTTTACTAATCATAATTATGATAGAATATCATCAATGTACTTTTCCAGAAATTGTTTTATAGAACATCAAGAATTTGGGATAAATAATGGAAAGGGAAAGAATTACCCTTAAACTATTGCTGTTCAGGCACTTGAAGCCAATCACTGGCATAAGCTGGTATACAAAAAAGTTTGTAGCAAGTGTAACATTCAGAAATAGATGATATTTTCTCCTTTAATACTATAAGTAAAAGCCAGGTATTTAAAAAGTAATGTTAGTTTAAAAAGGATGTGTTAGTTTCTAATGAATTTTAAAACCCAAACACACTGCTTTTGAGCCAATTCTGACTCATAGCAACCCTATAGGGTTGAGTAGAACTACTCTAGATGGTCTACAAGCCTGTAATTCTTCAAGGAAGTACAGTACCTCAGAGTTCTCCAATGGAGTGGTCGTGACTTGGAGCCATCAGACTTCTGACTTAACCACTGTGCAGCTTGGATTCCATTTCTAGCCAATTAAGCTCAAGTTCATGGTATCTGAGTACAAACTGACTCATAGCTGACCCCATGTGGGGTCGTGGAAGCTGTTAATTGTACTGGAGGAGCTTGCCTATATATATCCCTTCCATGGAGCTGGTGGCAAATTCAAAGTGCCGGAGAGGTGCTGCCTTGCCTTTGGGATAGCAGCGTGAATACCTACAGAAAAAGTCCTTTAATTAGTAGCATTTGGCAATTATTTTTATTATATGCAAATTGTTTTTCAACTTGACGTGCGTGTGTGTGTGCTCGCACATGCGCACACACACAAATTCATCTTCTGTACTAAAGTACAGATAACACAATTTATCTTTTGGAAGGGGGTAGAAAGAGGACAAATCAAACCGTAACTCAAGGATCCATGTGATCGTGAGAAGTGATTATTTTCCTAATGTTAGTGGATGAGCCATAAAGAAAATGGAAACTCTCTTTTAATTTGCTGTGTATCATCTATATGGCTGGGCATGTAATTTACTCTAGTAACAGAATCTTGACAGAAATGCAGCTGCTGGGAAATATTTTTGTATCTGTAAAAAAAGACTAAGTAATATGTGACTCTATATACGTGTGTGTGTATCACATGAATGTATGTTTGCAAAATATAATTTTAATAACACTCCCAAAGTATTTGTATTTGTTTTGATGCTTGAATAAATAGTGTTTATATAGAAAAATGGATTAAATGGCATAATTGAAACTCTTAAAATATATACTAACTTATTTGAGTTTTTTAAAGATGGGGGACATTTTTGTATATAAAAACTTTTTTTGTTTTATAAATGTAAACAAACAGAAAACTTGAATGGTATGGTGAGGCATCCTGCTAAGGATGTTAAATCAAATCCTTGCTTTTACTTGCATTCCTTTAGAAACCCATAGGTGATTAAAATTAGAATGAGAGTCTTAACCCAAATAAATAAAAATAGAAAAGCAAACAATCACAAAAATTTGGAATTCAAAGACAAATGAATGGGTGACACCTTATTAGACCAAAGCTGATAGTAGAAAAGATAAAGCAGCAGCACAATGAACTCAGTATTGTTATTGTTCTTACTTGGTATCCACTCAAATCTAATTCTGCTGAATTACAGAAAATTCTTTCCTAGTCAGTAATAAGTCATTATCAGCCTTTAAGTACCATCAAGTCAATTGGTTTAAAGTGCAGCAAGTCATGTGAATTCCCTAACTTGTAACTGGCACTCCCTGTCCCTGGAGTGAATGGTACAGCTAAAGGTTGGACTGATTAAGGACAGTGAAGATTTCCCTGACCTACTGACACTACAAAATGATGTCAGTAGATGTGAGATAAAATATAGTGACTCCCAGTTCAAGGAAGCATGGTCTTTTAGAAGAGAGAAGATAGTTAAATAAAGTATTCTCAATGATTTCTTTGGTCAATTTTATCTATCAAATAATAAAAGGAAGTTGCTTTCTACTAATTTATACACACCTTTGATGTAACATTTCCTTAATGTCTCCTATATATTGCCTAATCATAACTGGATAGACATGGCACCTACAGATAGTTGATGTCACTCATTGAAACCATCATCCTAGAAGTCTTGCTGAAGCTTGGAATTTTGAGACAGTATTAGTCAATAAGATCAGTTAAGAACCATGAAAAAGCCATAGATTACACTTCTCAATGAGAGGATCATAAAAAAATTTACAAACACACCTTAAAACCTCCATAATATTACACTTATACATAGAATATAGCCAAAGCTCACTTAAATGTGCCAATAAGGTGCATGCATCTAATAATACATTTATTAATTACAACCATATCTAAATTAATCACTTAAGTTGTCCTTTCAATTTTAAGTTCCAAATTGTAACTCAGAATGTAGTCTCTTAAGCATCATAAAAACATAAGAAAAAATGTGCACTAATTCTGTGTTAATAGAAAAATAAGCTATTCTTTAAAATTTACCTCTCTCAAGTCAAAAGTGACTCAGGACCTTCCAGTGGGTGCTCAGAGGAGGCTAGATATCATGCAGAAGGAGAGTACCCATCTTTCTCCCTAAGAAACTGGTGGACTCGAGCTGCTTGCCTTTGGACTGGAGACACCAGAACTCTCTCTGTAAAAGAAAAATTCTAAAAAATTCTGAATCTATTAGGACAAATATAAAAAAATTCTAAAATAATTCTAAGTCTATAAGGACTAATTAGAAAAAGCTGGAGATTTTGGAATTTTAGACATCTAGAGTGGTTAATACCGCATAACATTTATAGAATCTATGCTATAACCTGCTTAACTTAAAAAGGAACTTGTCTCCCAGCTCAGAGATCAATGCATTCAAATTATTCTTATTTCTAGATTAAGCTTAAACCTTACATGCATTTTGATTGCTTGATTGGATCTTTCATTTCTTTGACTATCTACATTAATTTTTGTTTTAAAATAAAATACCTTTGAAATAAGATGTGCCAATTTATTTTGCAATTATCATGATCTTCGTACATGATGACAATCCAATGATTTCTAAATGTACATTTTTTATCTAATGATAAAGACCTTTGAACTTGATGAGATTTAAAAATGTAAATTTATTTCCTATGTAACAAGAATTGTGAACTTGACTAGACCCTGCATTCTCTTCTATTCTTAGCACTATACACCGCTTATGATGATGTAGAATAATATCTAATTGGCACAACTAGGTCTTATTTGTTATAATAACCCAAGAGGTCACTCTACTAACAATTCAGAAAATGAAAGAGCTCTTGCAAAATGGAAATGTGATAGCAAAAAGGAAAAAAAAAACAAACCCCGAAACCATGTAAGTAGAAACCTAGAAAAGTGAAGTTGATTAAATCATACAGAAATCGGATGAGAGAAAAAAAATGAGATACACTTTAAAAAGAAAATATTACAAAAGTAATGGCATGGTCAAGGAAGTCTAATATTTAAATAACAGATTTTCTAAAAAGAAAAATATGAAAGGTTAAAATTATCAAATAGTTTGAGAAAATTTCCCAGAATTGAACGAAATACAGAAGCTCCCACTTTGAAAGGTTGCAAACGAGCGCTTAATGCAGAGACCAAAAGTAGACTCCTAAAAGGCTGCTACTCCAGCTGGACCCAGGCGGGACCGTGGGCTCCAGCGTCGGGGCCACAGCTGCCACCACAGGCACTATCTCATCCCCTCCCCACCCCAGCCCGTCTCTTGTCTCCTAGCCTCTCTCAAGTCATCAGCTGGGGTCTCTTCCTGGCGCCCCACCCAGCCCAGATGCTGAAGGTGAAGGCGCAGTAATGCACCCTGACTCTGGATAGCCCCTCTGTAATTTGTCCAGGAGTAGGGCTAAAAGAAAAGGAGGACATTTATCTTTGCATCTGTGTGTTTGGCCAATACAAAAATGAAACAACGTGTCCCACCAACTTTTTCATTGGTCTTCAATGCCAGAATGGTGTTTGAAAAGGTCCTAAAGCAGTGGATCCTGGAGTTGTGGTTACACAGCTTGAATATGACACAGAAGTTTTTAGTTGAACCAGCTTGTTCCACCAGTGAGTGAAACATTGTCTACTTAAGATAAAAATACGAGAGATTTCATGTTCCCAGGTCCACGCCAAGTTTCTAGACCTCATGATTCAAACTGCCAGGTTACCACGAGGAAAATTTCTGGCCGTTGACAGGTTTTTAGAGGCAGAGATTGCCCATCTTTTTCCCGAGGGGTTACTGTTGGTGTTTGAACCACCAGAGAGGCTCCAGAAACCAATAAAGAATGACTATGCTTCTGAACAGACTGGTGCGCAGTGAGTTAATTTAAAAATCAACACATAAAGAAAAGTCTCCTCCAAACATTCAAGGAAAATATAATACCACTCGCATTTCCACACAAATTCTTCTAGAAAATAAAGAGTTGTGAATGAAAAAAAAAAGGAAAAAGGTACATTACCAGGAATTTTGAGAAAAGTGAAATATATAAATTTTAACAACAAATGCTAAAAAATGTCCTTCACATGTTAAAAGAAAAAGAGCCAGGTTCAAAAAGCATCAAGAATCTGAATAGCAAGCAGCAACTCAATAAGAAAGTCAAAGAACACCTTCAGAGTTCTAAGAAAAATATTGTTTCCAACGTGTTGTGGTTGTGTCCTGTCATGTCCGAACTGACCCGCAGCTGACTCTCCAGGGGCTTTTTGGAGGCAGTACTTTTCACAGGAGTGGACTATACATCCTTCTCCCTAGTGGCTGCTGGTGAGTTTAAACTGAGCACCTTTGGGATTGTAGCACAGCTTCTTACGAGAAGCTCTCTTCCAACCTAGAAATCTTTGTTTAATTAAACTGACAAACTGGTCTGACATAAAATACAGCTATTTTAAGATAAATGAAGTGTCAGTATATCACCAATGGAATTTTTCTGCGGAAGTTATGCATAGGAAGAAATGGTCCATTCATACAAACAATCAAAAGGAAAATGAGATGAAATCCTGGAAATGGGAGCCAACAAAAGAGAAGATAGAAGATGATGGTGAAATGCAGTCTAAGGCTCTGGGCTATGCAGCAGACTCGGTAAAAAACTTGTACAGAATTGACATAGAGTAGAAAATTCTGACAATGATGTCCGTAAAAGAATGGAATTAATAAAATCTTTGATGAGTCTTATTGTATCAGAGATTTTTGCAACTGAAAGCATGCTAGCGAGAAATTAATCAGTGATAACTATGCATTAAACTATGTTGTCAGACACTCTCTATCATCACTCCTATTCAATATTGTGTTGGAAATCCTAGCCAGAAAAATACAGCAAGAAAAGAAAATAAAGAATATGGCGATTGGCAAAGAAGTAAAATTTTCTGTCTTTGAAGATTATGTGATTCTGTATATAGAAAATCCCAAAGATTCAGAAAGAAAATGATCCACCAAAGTTCATTAAAATAGCCGGCTACGACAAGGAGTCTTGGGTGGTTCAAAGTACAAAAGAGAGCTCCCAGGGCATTGTCTGGAGCAAATCGCACTGTTGTGCTGTTGTTGTGTACCATCGAGTAAGAACCGACCCACACTTGACCCTCTGGCAGGTTCTCAGGGGCAGAGGCAGTTAATTGCAGTGAAGGAATTTGCTCATCCTCTTCCCATGGAGCTAGCTGGTGGATTTTACCTGCATGCCTTCAGGTTTGCAGCACAGCTTGTTGTCACTAGACCATCAGTGCTCCCTAAAATGAACCCAAATCTAAGTACTAATAAAAATCCAAGTGGCTCTGGATGTTTGAACCCATCAGTAGTTTTGTTGAAGAAAGATGAACAGTCTCTTCTCATTATAAGTTACAACCTCAAAAACCCAATCAAGTGTTATCAGAAGCAATTCAACAAGTAATGACTTTGAGTTTTGTTTTACGATGCTTTGGTGGAGCAAATGTGTAAGCACTTAGCTTCTAAGGCTAGAAGTTTGAAGACATCCAGAGACACCTCAGAAGGATGATCTGATAAAAACCCATCAGTTAAAAACCTTCTGGAGCACAGTTCTACACTGGCACACTTGAGGTTCTCATAAATTGGAATCCGCTCAGTGGTAGCTGTTTTTATTTTGGCTTATTTGGTTGTTGCTGTTTACATTTCAGTCAGAACCGACCCATATTTGAGGCTGCAGGTTTTCAGAGTCAGTAAATCACACAGATTAACCATCCTTCTCCTGAAGAGCAGCTGGTGAATTTGAAGCTTGTGTCTTTGAAATTGCAGTGCAGTTTCTTACCACTAGACCACAAGACTTTATGGAAATGAATATCAAAGACACAGTTAAGTGTGCATAAAATGATTGTTTCTGAGGATTCATAAAGTGTGGGAAATTGGAAGAACTTTTATGAGTATTTTTACATAATGAATGGATAATAAACAGTATAGATAATAAGCACTATGGAAGTGTACAACTTTATAATCATATATGTGTTGTGATAACAGAATAATTGCATGGTTCCCATGATCTTGTCTCCTTGGTGTACTCCCTACAGGAATCTCTGGTAGCTTAGTTGTGGAGTAGTTTATTTGTAGCATATGGAAATAAATATCAAGCATTCAGTTAAGTTTGCATAAAATTATTGCTTCTGGGAATTCATAAATGGTGGAAAACTGGAAGGACTTTTTCTAATAAATACTATGGACTTATGATGGATAATAGACATTATAAATAACAAGGATTATGAAAGTGTATAACTTTATAACTATATACATGCTGAGATAACAGAATTATTACATGGTTCTCATGATCTTTTCTCCTGGATATACTCCCTTTAGGGAGCTCTGGTGGCTTAGTGGTAAGGATGTGCTGATAACTGAAAGGCACTACATTCCAATCTACCAGCTGTTCTGTGGGAGAAACATGAGCAATCTTATTCCATAAGACCTACTGCCTCTGAAAGCCCACTGGAGAGTCAGCTATGAGTTGGTTATGACTTAACAGTACCTAACAACAACATACTTCCTTGTTTTGAGAGTAGAGAGACCATATGACATGCTTCTAGTTAATGAAATATGGAAAAAGTATTGTAATATCATTGCCTTAATTATACTACAATGTGGAATGATACAAAACTCCTTCTTATGTTGGAGAAAGAGACTCTCTCTTCTTGGTCTTAAAGAAGTAAACAAATTGGTGAAGCCTCTGCAGGAAGGTATTGGGGATCCAAGAACCAGAACTCTAGTCAACAGCTAGGAAAGATGGTAAGCCTTAGTCATACTACTGCAAAGAAATATGTTCTGTCAATAATCTGAGAGAGCTCAGTTTACATAAATTGCCTACTTATTGGATGACTCTAGATGGAAATCACTAACAAAATTAGTTACTGGTAAAAATAAATGAATAAAGAAAAAATTAGCTGCTGGTATCATTCCAAGAGGGACAACTGTATGATGATTCCCTTTGACATGGACTCAGAACAGGAGTTCATTTGCAACAACACTTATTTGTACCACAAACAGAACTTTTATTGTGATTTTTATTTTCTGACTGGTGCAATTAGTAGCAGATTTCTTTTCTTCATGTATAAGATTCTGTTCCTTTGATAGTAAATACATTCAATTTCAACTAATTATCATACATTTTAATAAATACATGCTATTTCAACTAATTATCATACATTTTAAACAATGATAGTCTAAACTTTGCAACATGCAAACGTGGAAGAAATATATGTTCCTACTCTCAAGGAGTCTCAATGTTTATCTGTTGCACTTTTTTCTTAATAATATTCAATTTTCCTACATTTATTTTTCTCACACATCCTGTGTTCCAATCACTAGTATCTGCTTACAACTGTTCCTCACCCTTTGTGTTTCCATACTTGAGGACTCAGTCTTAGTTGCCATATCTGCTCGTCTAAGTATGCTCTGTTATACAGTGTTTTCGAAGGCCTGCTATTTCAGAAGTGGATGATTAATCCTTCTTCCTTGTCTGTCATAATTTGAAAGCTCAGATTTATCTAGAGCATTTTACAGAAAAGTCAGTCTGGAAACTAAGGTGAGTCTAATTCAGGATATGGTCTTTGCAATTACTTATGATTCATCAGAAAGCTGGACACTGACTAGGGATGAGAGAAGAAGAATTAATGCCTTTGAGGTATGGTGCTGGAGAAGAGTGTTGAATATACCATTGACTGCTATGAGAACAAACAAGTTAATCCTAGAGAAGGTGAGACCAAGCTTCTCCTTGGAGGCAAGGATTCTGAAGCTTCATCTGACATACGTTAGACATATTGCAAGGAGGGACCGACCAGTCCTAGGAGAGGAACATCATGCTTGGAAGGGTGGAGGGAAAGCACAAGATAGGAATATCCTTGATGAGATGGACTGAGTAAGTGATGTGGTAATGGAGGTAGGTGTGTTAGAGACAATAAGATTGTCACAGGATAGAGCAGAATTTAGGGCTGTGCCTAGGGTTGCTATTAGTCATAGGCAACTCAATAGCACATAACAACTCTCAAGGAGTACAACATCAAGGAATGCAGCCTTCAGTATGGATTGCATCTCAATGTCAGAAAAACAAAGATTCTTATCACTGGACTGATAGGCAGTGCCATGATGGACCGAGAGGAGATTGAAACTGTCAATAGCTTCATCTTGCTTGGATCCACAAGTAACACCCTTAGTACACACACTTGGGAAATAAGGTGATGCACTGCACATTGCACCGTGAAAATCTGCAGTTAGACAGCTTTCCAAATTATTGAGGAGTAGTGATGTCAGTTTGAAGACTAAGGTGAGTTTAATTCAGTCAATGGTCTTTCAAATTACTTGTTTTACATCTGATAGCTAGACAATGAATAAGGATGTTACGAAAAGAATGACACATTTGAGCTGTGCTGTTGGACTATGCCATGTATGGCCAAGAGAATAAATAGTTATGTCTTGGAGAGGGTGCACCCGGAGTGCTCTTTCGAGGCAAGAATGATGAGGCTTTGCCTTACAAACTTTGTCCATGCTTCTAGGAGGTGTTATTCCTTGGAGAAGAACATGATCTTGGGAAGACTGGAGGGTTGGCAGAGGAAAGGAAGACCCTCAATCATGTGTATTGACAAGGTGACTGCTGCAATGTGCTCTTGTGTGTCAAGAAGTGTGAGGATGGCTCAGGGTAGAATAAGTTTCAGATCTTTTGTTCATAGTGTCGCTGGGAATCATTCTCAACTTGATGCTACTTAACAACAACTCTCAAGTCTGGAAGCACTCGTGGCCTAGTGGTAGTAAATTATGCTGCAATCCCAAAGGCACACAGTGTAAATCTACCAGCTATTCCACAGGAAAAAGTTGAGTAATCATCTCCTGTAGGACTTAACAGCCTCTGAAAACCCACTGGAGGGTCAGTTGTGGGTTGATTCCGACTTGACAGTATACAACACCTCCACCACTCTCAAGGAACTTATAATTACAGTGGAGACACAACATGAAAAGCAGAATCAATAATGACAATTCTTTTTTCCAATCAAAATTATCATTTATTAAAAAAAAAAACCAAAAAACAAAAACCCAGCTGCTTTGCAGACGCCGTCGCCTCAGCAGTATAGTTCTTTGTTACGCTTGTCCCAGCCATGGTCAATCCCGTCGTGTACTTCAACATCACCGCTGATGGCGAACCTTTAGGTCGCATTTCCTTTGAGCTGTTTGCAGATAAAGTCCCAAAGACAGCAGAAAACTTCCGTGTTCTGAGTACTGGGGAGAAAGGATTTGGTGACAAAGATTCCTGCTTTCACCGAATCACTCCTGGGTTTATGTCCCAGGGTGGAGACTTCACACACCATAATGGTACTGGTGGCAAGTCCATCTATGGGGAGAAGTTTGATGATGATAACTTCATCCTGAAGCATACAGGTCCTGGCATCCTGTCCATGGCAAATGCTGGACCCAATACAAATGGTTCCCAGTTTTTTATCTGTACTGCTAAGACTGAATGGTTGGATGGCAAGCATGTAGTCTTTGGCAAGGTGAAAGAAGGCATGAACATTGTGGAAGCCATGGAGCGCTTCGGGTCCAGGAATGGCAAG